GGGTTTTTTTTTTTTTTTTTTTTTTTTTGGATTATCTCAAGGAAGCATCTGGAATTATAGTTATTTTAGGTCCAGGAGTTGATTTGGGGTAAATAAGTCATTTACTTTTTTATTTTTTTAAGCAAATTGTGTGCGTGTTTGTGTGGGAGGGAGTGCATGCATGCACCCACACATACATGCTTCTGCTGATTTCAAAAGCAATAAAAAAGCATTATAGAGCTGGTGGTTAAGTGTGTAGACTTTGGTGTACAACTGCCTAAATTCCAATGCAGGTCTGTCACAAGCTAACTCCATGACCTTAGGCAATTTACTTAATCTCTCTGAGTTCTAATTTTCTCATTTGTAAAAAGGGATCATTATAGTACCTAACTTATAGGATTATGAGGATTAAATAACACAATGAATGTCTATTGTTTCCGTAACAGCAATCACAATGTGCATTGTTGTTCGTTTTTGTTATAGTTGTTTTTTAAAAAGAACTAAAAAATTGCAGAAAAGCAAAAAAGAAAAGAGTCACATTTAATTCCATTATATAACCACTATTCACACGTTTATTGAACAAATAAATAAGCTGAATGAAGCTATATACCTGTCAAGAGACTGCACACCTGGTGCCTGGCAGTGTGCTGTCCACTGGATAAGTGTGAAGGACCTGCCGTGAATGAGACCTCTGTGACTTGACTCTTCCAGTTCCCATCGCTGTGTCCCACTGGCATAGTCTCTGGCAGATATTCAACGCCATCAGCTTGGAAAAGATTCCGCCTCCCCTTCAAGAATCTATACTTTGCAAAGCAGTGTTGAGTCTCTGTGCTCCTACCATTATGGATTGGTTTAATAGTTCAACTCAGAGTGCAGAATTATTTCCAAATTCTTAGGGATGCTCCATTGCTGTTCCTTTAGACCAGCTGGAACAACCGCTTAATCAGCACGGTTGAGAGTGTATTATATAACATATCACGTAGAATACACAAGTGTTGACGGTCTCTGTGCTCCTACCATTATGGATTGATTTAATAGTTCAACTCAGAGTGCAGAATTATTTCCAAATTCTTAGGGATGCTCCATTGCTGTTCCTTTAGACCAGCTGGAACAACCACTTAATCAGCACGGTTGAGAGTGTATTATATAACATATCACGTAGAATACACAAGTGTTGACTTAGGCAATACAAAGTAGTGGTTACGAGCCCAGGCTCTGCAGCCAGACCCTCTCAATTCAAATATGGGCTTCAGAACTTACTAGCTGTGTCACCTTAAACAAATTATTTAATCACATTGTGTTCAGTTTTCTCATCTGTAAAATGAAAATAATAGTACCTACCTTATAGGATTAATGTGTAGATTAAATAAGGTAAAACATGAAGTAGAAATAGTAAGTAAATGTTACTATTTTGCCCATTATTACGGGCAGTAATAATGAACTCATTGAGAATTTACTATGTTCTGAACACCAAATGTATATTATCTCAGTTAATCCTTAAAATAAATCTATGAGCTATTGTTGTTATTCCTACCTCATGAATAAGGATATTGAGGCTCAGCAAGTTTTAGTAATTTACCCTAAAATCACAAAGCCGGTAAGTGGCAAAGCCTGGATGTAAATGCACTTGTGTCTGAAATATTGTCATGGAGATATTTTTCTTAACAATTTGAAATATCTGTATTCTTGTTGAAATTATAATTTCTAAACCTGATTTTTAGCTTTTTCAGCCATAACAACCTCAGAATATTTTTTCAAAGAACTAACTTTAAATGCATGTCGGTATTTAAACATCCACCTATTGGTTTGATGGTCTATAGTTTTTAAGAACTTTTACTGTGGTCCTGTTCACCAGTCTCTGTATTTCCTCTACTAGGATTTTAGCAAAATCAATCAGTCAATTAAATAATTAAATACAATTTAAAAACTATAGGGTGACAAATGATGATCAAAACAGACAATTTGTGTTCCATGGTGTGAGGATAGTAAGGTCATAAAACCTTTTACGATCTTCATAAAAAGAACAGCTTTCCTTGCAAAATCAAAACGTAGCCATTTCAGTATGCATTCTCAACACTTTGTTGCATGTGTTCTAACCTAGCAACGATTCTCTATCCAGTGTGGAAGTGTCCTGACACCAGAAGCAGTAGACACTCATCTGTTGTAAAGTGACTGGTTGACTGAGTGCCCTGAAAATGGCCAATATCCTTCTCACTGAAGTGACACACTTGAATCTGAGCCCTTTCAGATACCCCTAGCAGAAAAAACAAGGAACACTGAAAAGTAATCTGTTCACAGATGTCAACACAGCCACTGTATTTGTGGGCATGATTTGCTGTGCCACATTTGTCAGATTAGCGTTTATGTCCTTGAGATTTATCTTGTTTTTATTGAAATATACTATAAAATGTTCTGTTATCTTTTGCCAGGTGAATGAATTGTGATATTTGGTAAAAGTATCTTTCATAACGACGAGATTACATTGTACTGAGAGCGAGCATGGCCAGAACTGGCAGAGTGGTCGTGATTTGTGCGTGATACTTAGTTGGGAAGCACATTAGAATGTTAGCTATGATAGCATGAGTTTACAAAGGATTCAACTCAGTGTTTAAAGATGTTATTTTTCTCCTCAACAGGTTAATTATGTATGGTTTTGTGAAAGCTATGATGTATGCTGGCCAGTTGAAAAATGGAGACTTTCATTTCACTGACTGTTTATTTTTTGGTTCACTGATGTCTGCTACAGACCCAGGTAATTGCTCAAATAATGTTTTTTTCTTGATAGAATCAAACATTAAATTGAATGTCTCTCAAAGACCATCACCTGAGTCTACATAATAATAATTCCTTCTTCCTCTTCACTTACAGTTGACACTTCTCTTAGTAATTGCAAAAAACAAGAAAGAAAAGAAAAAAGAAATGGGCAAATATTCAGATAGCTCTCAAGAATTTGGTCAGAAAGTAATTTCAGTCGGGGGAAAAAATCTTTAAAGTTATTATAGTTTATTTCTCTAGAACATGTAGCCATTTTGAGCTGTAGTCCTTAATTCTTTTTATTCAACATATCTTGTCTCCTCTCAAAAACGATCTATTGACTTAAAAATATTTTTAAAAATTGCTTACTATAGAACTTTTCAAGCATATCAAAAGTAGGGAGAATAACAGAAGTAATTGCCATCTACCCTTCAGCAGTTATCAAATATTTATACCCCTTTGCATATACTTCCTCTCATCATGACTGTATTACATTAAAGAAAATCCCAGACATCATTTTATTTATAAATATTTTGAAAAATGTTGACTGCCATTATAAAACCTAAAAATATTAATGAACATGCTTTAATACTACCAAGGATCTGGTCTCCATTCAAGTATCCCCAGTTGTTTTATTGATATTATCATTATTAGTTTGTGTAGCAATTTGTACAAATCAGGGTCCAAACTAGGGCTACACATTACAATTGATGGATATGACTGTTGAATCTCTTTTAATCTGTAAGTTCCCTTTCCATTTCTGTTTTTCTTGTCATTTATTTGTTTAAAAAAAAAACAAAAACAAGAGGCTATTTGTCTTGTGGTGGAATTGAATATGGTTCCTTAAAATGCTCTTCTATTCTCTGTATTTCTTGTAAACCGCTGGTTCCGTCTGGAGGCTTAATCAGATTCAGGGTCACCTTTGCTGGAGAGATTATGTCAAAGGTGGCACTGTGAGCTCTCCACCATGTCACGTCCAGAGGTGAACCAGGAGGAGCGACTCAGCTGTCAGCCTGGGCCATCATGTTATTGAATTGTCCCTCCGGCAGAGACCACCAGAACACACCTGTAGCTGAACAAGATGGCTTTATTGCCCATTGCAATGAGAGAGAGTACTCACGGTGGGGAAGCAGGGAACATCTTAGTGGGTGCTAGAAAGAACTTATTACAGGGCTTGGGTTTATGTTTGGTGACTTTAAAGATGTTGTAAGGAAACAGGGCTTTGCTCTGGATTAGATGCTGTCAGGAAGCAGGAGTAATTCCATGACTGGGCATCTTAGTTAAGTCTTACCTAGAAGGAGGAAAGACTAGGTCGAGCCTAAAGCTACAACTGGTAAAGAAGCTGTGGTCACTCTTAATAGACAGCATAGGGGGATGTTTGGTTAATTTTGTGGTTGGGACAATATTCGTTATTTGTGTTTAGACATGATTATATAGTAGACCTGTTTTTGTCCTGATCCATCATGGTCAGAGGAGTGACCTTGCCTGATAGCATTCTGTGAAGTTGTTTATGTCCAACAGGAGAACACCACGGCCCAGCTGACAATACCAGGGGCTGCTTTTCTTTTCCTTAGGATGGCCCTGGACCAGCAGTGTTGGTACCGCGTGGTAACTTGTCACAAATGCAGAATGTCATGCTCAACTCCAGACTTAGTGAATCAGATACTAGCATTTAACAGTATCCTCAAGTGATTCATATGCACATTAAGGTTTGAGAAGTTCTACATTTTATCTAATGGTTGTAGTACCCATTGATGTTGACTGCTTAATCCAGTGTTCATTAGCGGTTGCAAACTAGTGGTATGCTAATTCTATCCTGCCTTTTTCATCTACTAGCTGCTCCTCTCCTTAAAGAAGTAGTTTTCCAGTTCAATTACTTCAATACCCATGGTATAATTTAAATGAAAAAAGCAGGGCAAATGATTGATTCTTTCCCTTTATTTACTGATTTTCAAAATAATGTGTGGTTTCCCTGGGATCCTTTACATGTTACCAGTGAGATGGGTTTTTATTTTTTTTTATTTATTTTTTATTTTTATTTTTATTTTTTTTTGTTTCTGTTTGTTTTATTTTTTTTATTTTATTTTTTATTTTTATTTTGTCAATATACAATGTATATGATTTTTATGACCCATCACCGACACCTCCCGCCCTCCTCCCTCTCTCCCCTCCCCCCCAAGAATGTCCTTTCCGTTTACTTGTTGTAACAACTTCAAAAAAAATATAGTTGTTATATCTTCTTCCCCGCCCCCCCCCCGGGTTTTTTTTGTGTGTGTGTTTGTGGGTGAATTAATTTGATTGTTTTTTTAGCTCCCTCCGATGAGTGAGAACATGTGGTATTTCTTTTTCTCTGCCTGACTCGTTTCACTCAATATTATTCTCTCAAGGTCCATCCATGTTGTTGCAAATGGCAGTATTTCATTCGTTTTTATAGCTGAGTAGTATTCCATTGTGTAGATATACCACATTTTCCATATCCACTCATCCGATGATGGACATTTGGGCTGATTCCAACTCTTGGCTATTGTAAAGAGTGCTGCAATGAACATTGGGGAACAGGTATACCTTCGACTTGATGATTTCCATTCCTTTGGATATATTCCCAGCAGTAGGATAGCTGGGTCATATGGCAGATCTATCTGCAATTGTTTAAGGAACCTCCATACCATTTTCCATAGAGGCTGCACCATTTTGCAGTCCACCAACAATGTATGAGAGTTCCTTTTTTCTCTGCAACCTCGCCAGCAGTTATCGTTCAAAGTCTTTTGGATTTTAGCCATCCTAACTGGGATGAGATGGTATCTCAGTGTA